TGTTATAACTGGTTACCTAATCTATTTATCTAATTTAAGTATTATTCTCTATAGAACTTAAACTTACTTTAGAGTAATCCTATTTATAAGTTTTGTTTTCTTTAGTTTATTTTTACTTATATATATTTTTATACTATATCTTCTATAGCAACACCTTACTATCTATAGTTACTTTATTATTATAGTTTATAATATTATCCCCTTCCTTTAAGTCTTTAGCTTAAAGGTTATTTTGTTTTTTTTTATAGATAGTATAAAAGTAGCTAGTCTTTTATGTGAAAACTAAAATTATAAGAACTCCTTATACCTTTTCTATCCTTCTAATTTCCTAAGGATAACTTAAGCGGAATTATTCTTAAAATAAGCTTATTACTTCACTTAAAGAATTTAAGCATATAGCTATCTTATGCCGTCTTTTTATTCTTATTATTATAATAATAATTACTATTATTTAGTAGACTTAACTTCTAAGTAATATTCTAAATATATTAATTAAAACGTAACGTGCAATCTTATAGTATTATAATAAAAATAGAATTATTTAAATTATAATAAAAAGAAGTTATGTTAGTAGATTAAGAAATTTCGTTAAAAATCTCTTAAGGCTTACTGTGTTTTATTAAATTAGTTATAGAATATTTAATAGTAGTTATTAGACTTAAATTATAAATCTTAAGCTTATAAGTTCTAGCTTTATTAGTAACTAGTTTAAATAGATTTTTAAAAGAAAAAAATATTCTAGCACGAGCTCACCTTAATTAATGAAGTTTATATAATAAAAAAGAAAAAGTAAAACTATTAGAATTAATCTAGTATACTACTATTTATAGTGTCTAGTGTTGCTTTACTTTTCTTTTTAGGTTTTAAATAAAACGTTTTTTATTCTCTATATTTATTAAATATAATCTTAAAGTAAGTATTTACTGCTTTATCTAATAATACTAGTTAATTAGCTTTAAACTATTTTTTAAATTTCTAACTAGCTCCTACGTGTTATCTTTAAGTCTGTAATTTTTCTATTTAACTAGATACTTCTACTAATATCTAAACTATTAATAGTCTAAAATCTATTAAACTTTATACTTGGTAGTATCTTCCTTAAGTTTAAGTTTTATCTATAATTCAACGTTCTATAGTGCTGGTTCTAGTTATAAAATATAAAAAACTAAGTAAATTCTTATATCTTTAGGTAATTATAGTTTGTAATTTACAAATCCTATTTATCATTTAACCTTAAATAGTCCTAATTTAATATAATCTAGTTTTCTTAATAGTTATTTTATTTCTAAATTTTTTATAATAGAAAATTTTTTATCTTTCTTTTTAAAGATTAGTTTCTTAACTTTAGATTTATCCTTAACTTACTTACTAAGATTGCGTTTATAGGTGATTTTTTTGTGCAATTTTCTAATAAAGTTATTATAGTTCTTTAACTTTTATTTTTATAGATTCTAATATTTTGTTTAGTTTCTATAGTTCTTAATAAGCTATAGGCTTATAACTATAGTTTATATAGAATAATAATTTCCCTATAGTTAATAACTTTACAGAGTTATATATAAACTTAGCTATTAATAGTAAGTTAATCTAATTATCTTATTATTTATTAATATACATCCGTAGGTATTATTCTAATGTTTGGTTTATCTATTCTATTTATCTATTTATTTATAAATAAAATACTATTAAGAGACGGTGTTCAGCCCCTAGCTTTTTAATAAATATTTTTTAGAATATTAACCTAAATAATTTATCTCTATTTGTAATGAATTTTTATAGTAACCTATATTATATATATTAATAGCCTAATGAGTATAGTTACTAATTTATCTACTTTAATTTCCATATATATTAGTTTAAAGTATATATACTTTATAAGTTAGTTTATTATAACTAGTATCATGTCATACTATTAGCCTTAAAAGGTAATTATTATTAGTATTTTTATAATAAAGTTTATTATAACTAATTTTTATAGTAGGTCTAGTAAAGGAATTAATTATATAAGTCTATATTTTTTATATCTTAATATCTTATTTTTTTTTGTACTAGATACACTCTAAAAGAATAACTCTAATCTTTTTTTTATAATTTAGAAATCTAAAAGTATCTATTAATCCGTTCTATAGTTTTCTTAATTTCTTAATGTTTATATATTTTAGCTAAATGTTAATTCTAGATAAGTTCTATCTATAATACGTCTAGTATAAAAATTGTTTTAGTTTTATACTATTATAGTCATTTATTATTATATTCTCTAATTTATTTTTACTATATATTTTTAATAATATCTACTGTTTTAATATCTATTTATAAGCTTTCTAGAGACCTGTCTTATTTTATTTAAGTATTATATTATAAATTTCTAGTATATTCTTTATATAGTCTGCTTATTAACTAAGTGCATTAACTACTAAAAATTCTTTTTCTAATTTATAAAGTATTTAAAAGTTAATGGTAGAAACTAATTTCTATTATTTAATTTATTATTAATTTAACTTCTTAGTTATTATAAATGCTGTTAGATTCTTATAATCTAAATATATAATAATCTAATACTTAATTTCTTCTAAGTAATGTCTTTATTTCTTAAATGCTTAAACTATTATTAATAGTTTTTTATTATAAATATCATAATTTAACTTAGTAGTTATAAGTTTATAAAATAGAAAGTTTACTAAGTGTTTTTTTATTTATTATTTTATATATTTATAACAGAATAGCTCTAGTAGCTTTATCTAATATGTCTATATATATCTTTATTTAAAATTATAAGTTAAATATTTTTAATATTAATAGTTGTGATGGTACTCTTTGCTTTGTTTATTATAAACTATATAATATTATAACTAGCTATACTAGCTATAACTTAGTATAGAGCTTAAAGTATAGTTAGCTTATACTTAAGCTATATACCACTCTATTTAAAAGCAAGCCCCTTTTATACTTCTTTTTTTTTTTTATCTTAGTATAGCTAAAATAGAGCTAACTTATTTTATTAACTTATATTTATATAACAACGCGTGAGGACCGTGCCTGTTATTATAATAATTATTAAAATATTTTTTTTAGTATTATAAAAGCGTTTTCCTTGCATTGTTTTTACTTAAATTATTAATCTTTTTTTTATAATTCTGTTAAAGGTATTTTTTGAGTAGTCCTTAATAAATTATTAGCAAAACTCTATAAATCTAAGAAAAGAATAAATTTCTTTTATATTTATTAGTATTAGCTAAGATAGAATATCTTTAGCTTTATTAAGATTAACTACTATTCCATTTTAAGATACTAAGTATCCTAAGAACTTAACTTCTATTCTATGGAATATATATTTCTCTGTTTAAATATAGAGCTTGTATTTCTTAAGCTTTTATAATACTTTTTTAGTATACTTAATATATTCTTTTAGCATCTTATTCGTGTATATAAGCATGTTATTAAAATATACTATTATAAATACATCTAAATATTCTCTTAGTATATAATTAATAATTATTTAGAATATTACTAGTACGTTAGTAAGTTCTATTAGTATAATTAAATATTTAAATAGTCTATATCTTATTTTAAATACTATTATCTATTTATGTTCTTTAACTATTTATATTTAATAATATCTATTTTTAATATTAAAGAGACTAAACTACTTAGCTCCTCTAAGCTTATTTATAAGTTCTAATATTAATAATATAAGGTAATTGTTTTTTACTATAGCTTTATTAAGGTATTTATAATTAATATATAACTTTAGTTTTCTATTATTTTTTAGTATAAAGAGTATTAGTAAGGCTATTTTACTTTAGCTTATTTATATATATCTTTTCTATTAATTTTCCTATAGAAATTTCCGTAACTTCTTTTATTAGTGAATAGATACTTGGTATAGTAGTCCTAATTTTAAATCTATTCCTTTCTTAAGTATAATTCTATAGTCTTAGTTTTAGTATTCTAATAATTAGTCTTTAGCTTCTTTAAAGAACTATTTTCTAAATTCTTTTTA